CAAACATTAGACAAGTGGAACGTAAGCTTGCAGACTTTAATACTGCCTGTGGAAGGATTGGTCTTCGACTAAATCTCACAAAAACGATGTTCATGAAAAACGGATTGGTTTCGCATGCCCCATTCACTCTCAATGGAACGAATATCTCCGAATGCTCCAGTTATATCCATCTAGGTCGGGTAATCAATATGATGAACGACCTAGGTCCAGAGCTGAGCAGAAGAAAGCGAGCGGCTTGAGGAGCTTTCAAGAGCATCGAGGATGTAGTGAAGAGAACAAAGAACACCCGACTCCGTGTCCACCTTTTCGACTCAACGGTACTTCCTGCCCTAACGTATGCGCCAGAAACCTGGTCGCTGCGTGAGCAGGATGAAAGGTCACTCAGTGTTGTCGAACGTGCAGTCGAAAGGACGATGCTAGGAGTATCCCGTTTTACACAAATAAGGAATGGGATCCGAAGCTCCGACCTGCGTCAACGATCAGAAATCAAAGACGCCGTTCTGTACGCCAATTAGTCGAAGATAAGGTGGGCCAGACACGTAATGCGTATGAATGACAACCGATGGACAAGAGCCATTAGTGACTGGATTCCTCGGGATGTCAAACGTACTGCAGGAAGACCACCGACCCGATGGTCAGAGCTTTTCACAAAGAGCCTTGAAGAAAGATGTGATGCTTGATGAGTCGCTAGAGCGAGCAGAACCCATGGGGCTACTCTTGCATGCTACAGGGAAAATGGAAGATTTACTGGCGCCCGCTCGAGTCACTCGACGATCAACGGGATTACAGGTGATACCGGTGAAGGCGTGTCAGCGTTCAGGGTTTTGATCGCCACTATTTTGTTCAACCGATGAGCGTGAACTCACAGGTTGACGAAAGCAAAGCAGAGCAATGTAGTATATTTATATGATAGTTCAGTGGACTTTTATGAACTCTAGCGCTAAAAGTTTTGTGAAACGTAACATGTGTGTTCGATTTCCTAATAAGAGATTGTAGGTACGATAACCGCTTAAATTGCGTATCGCCAGACTAATGCGAAGTGAAAATAAATCAAAAAAGGAAGCGTGAGTAACTCTCGTTTCTCTTCTCCAGCTACGAGCTAGCGCGTGAGATCCCTCTTCATTAGGCTAACCTATTTATGAAGTCGCTGTCGTTTTAAAAAATCCTAGTCACATAATAGCAGCACCCATAAGGATCCAAAGAGCAGGCAATTGCGTGGAATATACCTCTCTTATATATTCTTATATCTTATACCAGTACCAGTAGCATCTTATACCAGTACCCATGCCGCATGCAACATTTAACATATCATCTAGTAAGAAAGACAAAAGGCTTTCTAGTGGACGCTTAAACCAACATGCGAATTTATCCACGTGGACAAGAAATTGAAGAGTTTGATAAGAACTAATCCTCTCACGATCGCATTTCACTGAAGCACAACTTCGGTAAGCACTGAAATGAAGGATGCGGCGGTTCGGAAGTCTACGTGAAAGGCACGACGAGTTGGTTTTTTGAGGTTGTCGTTCTATTGTCCAGCTCTCTCACATTTTTTCTATGTTGCTTTAACTTCTACATATCCGATATTCTCCTGTGTATTCTATTCTTTTCCGATATTTTTCTCATGTTCTTGAACAGCTTTTTTGTATGGTGAGATAACATTAGCCCATTATCTAATCATGATGTTATCAGCTCTCCGCATAGTTATGTGTGATAGCTGAAGTGTAGTCCTGTGTCTGTTGCACATTTTTCAAGTAGATCTAAGCAAGCGGATTAGTTTAGCTGAGAATAGCTATCCATGGACCAACCCCAGTATAAAATCATCACTTACCTATAAACGGTTTGAAAGGCCTTATGCGACCAAGAAGTGCTGTATCTACGTGAAAGAGACATTGACAAAAGACTATTGAGACATAAGCAGTTTTGGTTAATTTGGCTCACTAAACAGTTGATAAAATATGAAAGGCTCAAGCCTCACTATTCCTCTCATTTTCGTGTGGCTGGCCAATCGGACGGCGCGTCCGTGAAGCGCACTTGAGGTGCGCAGTGAAATCAGGAAGTACGGTCCAAGAAACACTGTCGCCTAGGTGAAAAAATGCAAGGACTTCCGCCCATGTGTTTAAGCGATGTTTTCTCAATGTTTCACTCAGAAGGCCCATTCTCCAACCCCACTGCTTCAACTTTGACTTACTCGGTTTTCCAGACTTTTTAGAGAAATATTTGACTCCTTTATTACAGCTCTTGTGGAGCAATTTTGAAGAAGTTTATCTTCAAACAAAGCGATTGAACGTTAACAAATATTTTATACACATTGCACAAAAAATAATAAAACAGAAATTTTTCGTTTTCTTGTTCAGCAATCGCGAGGTTTTTAAACAGCATACATTTACTTCCATAAAAACACAATACAATACAACGCTAGCTGACGTTTCGGCAGTATCGCCTTCTTCAGAGCCGCTTTTTCGTGACTTACAATGAGGAAGTTTAGAACAGCTGATTATAGTCGCATGGGTCGTCAACCACATGCGACTATAATCAGCTGTTCTAAACTTCCTCATTGTAAGTCACGAAAAAGCGGCTCTGAAGAAGGTGATACTGCCGAAACGTCAGCTAGCGTTGTATTGTATTGTGTTTTTATGGAAGTAAATGTATGCTGTTTAAAAACCTCGCGATTGCTGAGCAAGAAAACGACACATTCATATTCCAATGCCGAGGTTAAGAGAAAGTCGATCCTGGGAATTAAAACAGAAATTCATTAAATAAACCCAACATGTGGATATTGCTGTACATTCACCTCGACGCCCAGACTCCTATCGCGTTTGAAGTAAAAGCTTAGCCACAGTCAAGAACTCGCAGTGAAAATGGTATCTCTTGCATAAGACTACCTAACCTACCAAACAAGAAAGTTGCAGTAAGAAAATAATGATATGATACAAGATGGAATTTGGACGCGGTTCGACGTCACGTGAAATTGTAGAACAGAAATATCACTAGGCGACAAGATATGGAGCAGAGGAGAAGATTCCGATCGTAGAGACCAGGATAAACATAGTGAATACGTAGAGGCACAGTCTGTCCACCACCATTGCGGCGAATTTCCAGTTATTCGATGTTTGCTGATCACGGTCAGACTCCACCAAACGCTTCGTAATGACCTTTCAGTAAGAGGTAATAAGAATAATAATCATCAAATATACAAACAAACAAATGAAAATAAAAAAATATGAATAGCATGTGCCACGTTGCCTACTTGGACACTTAGATGACCCATCTTCAATAGTTGTGCAGGCTCCAGCATAATTTTCATTTTCCAAGAGTTTTACTGGCTTAGCCATTGTGCTTTCTTGGAGTCCCGAGGTCAGTCTGGCCAATTTCTGCCCCAGGTGGTCAACACCGCATGCAGTCACCGTCCTGGTAGGCCATAGTGAGATTTGTCACCATGCTACCAGTCTAATATGGGGACGGTAGTGGATTCTGTTAATGGATCACTCTTAGCTGGGGTTCCTAATGCAAACGGCGGACTCAGCCTGGGAGATCCTGCAGGAGAGATGTGCATCGCAGTCCGACACTCAGGGATACCTCCTAACCATAATGAGGTGATGGGAGGATATGCCATGTTATATTGAACTGCTTTGTTTTTTCCCCCATTCATTTTTACCGATACACGCAACTATACTCGAAGCAAATAGATGAGTTTGTAAAGTGTGGAACAAAAACTATTCATTTGCTGGAAGGATGAAGTTACGAAAATGGTCTCCAATCTAACTTTTTTGGGATACGCTTGAAGAGGCAGCATAGATTCGCGTTTCTATCTTTAGGTCATTTCTATCTTACTTATTCACTAGGATATAAATTTTAGTTAATAGTACGAGGGGTGTCCATATGCAGAAAAAGATTTGGTTAGAGCAAAACTTTGTTGTTATAACAGTCGGATTTTTGCTAGAACCGAAACGTAGACAGCTAAGGTGTTTACCTTTAGTTCATGGTATATGCGCTTCAAAATAAGTAGTGTAGCTTGCTGACCAAGGTCGACAGGAGCAGAAATCTAAAAACGACCATCCATCTGAGTCACCATTAGAGCATTTTGATGACGTCACGAACAGGCATCAAAAAGATTCTCATCGTTTACTAAACTCCACCAAAGTTATTTTAAATCTATTATTTATTTCCTTTTTTTGACGCGTGGGTGCATGATCCTAAATGATAGTTCCTGTAGCATTATTTGTACCGTCGATAATTTTCGTTTTCGTTGAGAATGCCTTTTGCACAACAATGTGGGGATCGCAGGATTTCAGATAAAATTACGCTCGTCCGGCACCAAGCATACCAAAGAAGGGAAGCGTGGATATTAAGAAGATAAATGAAAAGCAATGATACACCGACGATACGCCATGCAGACTGCACAGTTTCCTCAAAACATAAACTTAACGTTCTTCTAGATGCCGCGGACCGCATCACAAACTGCAATCATGTGCCCTTCTTAACAGAAAAAGTCAGTATTATAAACTCCCATTCACCACCGTCGATAATTGATGATCAGGGACTTGATACTTTTAATGATTATCTCAATGGACTAGTCTGTAACGAACGAGTCTGTGCGACTAGTTTGGTACCAGCACGGTGACGGATCCTGGTGTTGGTTTACTCTTAGCTAGAATTCGTGATGGAAAAGACGGACTCCTTAGTTTGGGAAACCCTGCCTGGCAGAAGAACCCCGTTCGCTGCACATCGCAACCCGACACACGCGAACACCTCCCAGCCACGAAGAAGTAGGAAACCGTTGGGAGAATTTGTATATTATCGGTAGTGATCTATTTAGTCGGATGAGATTTCGTCTACTATGATTTTAAACCAGTTACATAACAGCACTGTTTTTCTGCTTATTTAGATCTTCCATTTTTCTCGGTCTTTGTCGCATTCTACGCGTAAAGGCAATTTTGATCGTTTTTTCGCATAGGAAACACTAATCTGCTGTTTTCAGTGTCACGGAAGCTCATAACAGACTGCTTTCTCTCTTTATAGTTTTTCTTGATTTAAAGTCAAACTTCGGAGACTACATTGCTACTTTTCAGCGGCAGCTCAGAAGATTCAGGAGCATCGTCGCCAGTGAATTTCGAGAGCGCGGCCGACATGGCGGAGGCGCTGCAGTTGAAATTGAGGAGTTCACCGGCGCTGCCGCACTTCATGTCTCTGCTGCAGCACCTGCTCATGGCACGTTTCCCCTCAAAAATGAGAGATAAATATATGATTGCGGCTCGTCGCACGTAAATATCCAGCTCGTTGTTGGATCGTTTTGCTTACATATTTACTTAAATATACTTATATTTTGTGTGCTCATGTGTTGTGCAAGCGCCCACACTTCCGCTAAATTCTTTGTTTTGCAGTTTCTCCCAGTGAATTAGTGCTGCTCTACACAGGTTCACTCGCGTTCTTAGTATCTGTCGCTTTCCCTTTTTGTTGGTGCGGGGAATGCTGGTCGAACATTGTTTTCGATATCCAAAGCTAACTCAGCCAGAACGTTCTGATGTATTTTGAAAATCGCTCGACCTTGAGGACCGGATGGGAAGTTGTTTCCTTACGAATAGGACTCTTTTCGCCATCATGCATTCACCCTCATCTTCTTTTGATAGCTTTAGGGCTTTAGGAAGTGTTTCGAAGCTTCATCTCGGTCCAGCCACTGGGTCGGATGTTTATGGTTTTCGTATAGAATCCGTTTTTTTCATATTTCCTAAAGCAGTCGAAAGATCTGTTATTTCTTCTGAGCACGCATTTTTTTCGCAAACGTAAAGTCACAACGTTTTTTGTAAGAGTCAGTTCGTATGGGATCTATTTATCCCCTTTTCACCCCTCCAGCACTTTCTCACGCAAAGTTTTTAACACAATTATGCACTATGCATTCGGAAGCCTTTCCTATACTATATTCAATGAGATTTCGAGCCGCTTACACAGGAGAGGGTCGAAGTTGGAACTCATGAAGGAAAACAACACAATTTCCTTACCGTTCATGCATCACTTCGAGGAACCTAAAGTTCTGTAAAATAAGTGTTAAAAAATCGTTACTTAGCAAACAGTTATGCTAGAATTGAGTTGGAAACTGAGTTCAGCAAAGATGCAGGCAGTAATATTCTTCGCAAAACATGCTTGAAACCATGAAAGTAATAGGGTTTGCTCCACGATAGTGCTTTAGAAGCTTCATTGATATAAATGAGTAGTAGGAAATAGGGTAAGAGGCGAATCGTTAGCCATTCGATATCAGTAAGATTGAAATAGTTTCATCATTGAGTTTATTAGCTTAGTGGTTGTTAGTCGCTGCTATTCTCAGGTGCCTTCTGACGAGAAGCACTTCCGTATGTGGCGGCTCTTTGACATGATCTTACAACATCTCACTCTTCAGACGACCGTTCAAGGCATGACTGACGTCGAGAACGTTTTCACTACTACCATCGACATCAACGAGATATTAGCAAGGTGTTTCCTTTTCCAATAGCTAATCTAGATTTTTTAGTTTTATTTATTTTATATGACCCGTCTTCACGTTTACCGTGCAGATCGCAGCACTTCTCACATTCGATTCATTTCGTCGCATCCATTGTCCACGAAGATCTCCCAACTTTAAACGTGTGGCTTCGGTTGCTGTTTGAAGATTTTTATTTCATCTTGAATGTCGTGGAATGCTGGTCGAGAAATACTTCTTGGAGTCTGACATAGCCGGACTGGGGCGTTCTCAGATGGATTGTAGAGAGTGATTCTTTTGCAGACAAATTGAGTACCCAATTTTCCGTCCCTGGATAGATGAGAGACTTGGTTGACCCAGAGCGGAATCGAAATAACATTATGCTCTTGATGGCGGGCATCACTACCATCTAGATTCTTATTAAAACTTGAAGTGTGATAACCATCTAGCCCAATAATTCGTCAGTCAAACATCTGCACATTGTTATTTTTGATCATCGTCAAGAGGTTTGAATCACGTTCCCAATCAATTAGGTTAACTTATTTTATTACCTAGTTTGAAGTGTCACTACCCTATCTGCCAGACCACTCCAAAAAATGACGTTGTCGGATGAACGTGTTAATTAGAACTCTGAAAATTTTATCTGTAGCACTGTGTTGTAGTCTTAACAGAAATGACGGTATATTAAAATAGAGCTTTTGCTTGCTTTATAATTAAGGCACACCTTTTAGAAGAATGAGAATAGAACACCACTGTGGAGAAAGAAGACACGACAAAGTAATGTTGAAAGCAATTGGTTTTTTTATAGTGATAACCATTTGAAAAATTCGGTTGTAAGTAAACTGGCAGTAGTCAGAATTTCTTTTGAAACAGGTTGCACACGCAGTGTGACTATGAACGTCTGGAGAGCGAAGTGGAACGGTTAAAGGAGGACTTGGACCAGGAACGAATGCGAGTCGTGGAGCTCGACAATCGCATCGCCGATTTGCACGATGGCCGTGCCAGCATCTCCAGCAGGTCACTGCATATTAACGAACTAAACACATTTCTTTCTCATCCTTTACTTATTACCGTTATAGGTAGTAGTCCACATTTACTTTTCGAATACTGTTAAAAATCTTATATTCCTCAAAAATCATTGTAAATCGACTTATATTTAACCTCGGTATAAATGACCAGTGTACCCTACCTCACTGATAAGCTAGCACGAGCTGAGGTTGCCTCATTAGCGATGCTCTGCTGAAGAAGATCCGACTCGATACGCCGCGAAGACATTGTATCGAGAGTATGGAAAGGCTGTGAACAACGACCCGAATCATCGGCTCTGAGGAGGACGAAGACGTCGAAACCTTAACTGAATGCTGACTGAATTCGATGACAACCTCGTGCTAACTTTTCACTGAAATAAGGTACATCCATCAAGAATTTTGCAGTTCAGAAGGCGCCCTCATTTGATACTTTTTTATCCACTAATTGAATAGCTTCTTTCTATTACGCTAGTACAACGCAATACAGGACTATTTCTTTTTGTCTTAGCCAGCCCAATTTATGTTTTGTTCACGACAATAATTTTGATACTTTTGTAGTTCAAAGTATGCGCTTTGAAAATCTTGAAATTGTTCGCAACTACGGTTGAGTTTGGTTTACACAACGTCGAATTCGTTCAGCACTCATTTCGATACAGTTATATATTTACAACGAATTCACGACTAAAACTCTAATATCTTCTTGAATTATTAAACTAACAAGACGTTGGTAAAAAAAAGATTCATTCGGCTGTTTCGACGTCTCCATCTTCTACAGAGCCGAACTGATTCGAGTCGATGGTTCATCGCCGTTGGCGTTCGCGATGTCGAGTCTTCGTTACCGCATCTGCTGCAGGATGCATTGTCCTCCGAAGGAGGATCGTAATAGATTGCTATGGACGAAAATCCATTCTATATGAAAAGGCACCACCGAATGAGGTTTCTTTATTCGAGCGGTACTCCACTCAGTCGTATTCGACTGAATGCAACTAGGAAAACCTGCATCGCAAAGGCGAACGGTTGTGGACAACCGACTGGAATCAATACGGCTTCGTGAAAGACGGAGACGTCAAGACATTAGCTGAATACATCTTTTTACCAACGTTGCTGCTAAATAATACGAGAAGGTTTGATTATTTATGCCGTGACTCAATGAAAGACGGTTTTTAAGACATGGAACACCAATATTTATTCAGGATATCAACAACCTCTTTTTCGCCGACTGACCCCTGTCCGTCGTTGTCACCACTGCCTCCTGTCTGTCCACCGGCAGCCGCTCCACCACCCCCTCCTCCACCGCATGGATTGGGAGTGATCACGCACAACGAGGAGTGACTTCTTAGAATGCTCTCAACATAATCAGTCATCTAAAAAATTAAGTTTTAGGCTCAGAAACGCGTACCGAAGCCATCAGGGCCGTTAAAATCACTCAACTGGGTAAAATTTACCGAGAGCAAGGTAAAGGGAACAGCGTGGGAATTCATAGAGGACGAAAAGATGTATAAGCAGGTACAGCTAAGTGTGACCTTCAGTAATTTATGGTTGATTTACTCATGTTTTTGTAGTTTGCCGCAATCCTGTATAAATAAGGTCAATTTATATGACTAGGTGGTCAAGGAATTTATTCAATAGCACACACCATTTAGTTGGACCTTGAGAACGTCGCAGCAACTTTTGCGTCCTGCTCGCAGAAGGATGAGGATAATGACATTTACAGCACAATGTCGAAAAGGCACTGCGATACCCAGGTGGGGCAAATTAGTGACAAATCTTGCGAGGTGTTTTCTGCTAAAAGTTAAAATTAACTTTATCATTAAGCATATTAGAGGCGATTGAATACAGGTTTGTTCTACATAGTAACTTGCAAGTGCTTTCGAATACATCAGTTTAGTGTTTTATCGTCTCATACAAGTCTTCTATTACTTTACCGACCCCGGAGCCAAGGGTGGGCACTGGGTGGGATGAACGGCCATCTGTATATTGCAAGGTGCTTTAAACCACTGAGGCAGCAGATCCCTACACGTTTATAGAGCACCACATATTCATTATCCAACCTGTTGTCCTCATCGTTTTAGCAAGAGGGCCGGGTTCAAAGTAGGGTGGGTGTTTATTCTTGCGGGTGTTTTCTCGGGCTCTTGCAGGCTGACTACCAGGCTCATTTGTTGCAAACGACTCTAAACCTCTTCTCATTTACTTGACAGCCACTTAAATAGGATTTTCGGCTTGGCCGACATATATATTTATATAACCCTTGCACACGCAAACCAACGAACGGTGTAAATATATTTATGAGCATAAAGGATAAAGGATAAACCTTTCGGCGCTGATTAATCCCGAGGGATGCACCACACATTTGAGTTCATCAAGCATCGTTTTTATTCCTGTTTTATTTACATGATCTGTTATCCCATCCACTGTGCAGATCTCAGCACTTCTTGCATTCGATTCGTTTTCCTCAAATTCATTGTCCACAAGGGCCTTCGGACATTTCGCTCAACTTGGTTGAAGTGTCAGTTCACCACAAAACTGCATAGCGATAAAAAGTGACTTGTTGGTGGCTTCAGACAGATGTCGTTTTCCATGTTATTTCACCACTCCGGGTATACGCGTGTTGTTACCTCTATAATCAGAATCATGCATTCATAATTTTGTAGCACCATAGATTTCCTATGGGAGTATTTCCCCTGCAATTTATGTGCAGTCTCCTTATTTTTCTAAGTTCGTTCACCTCTTCGAACATTGCTTGTGCTTCACTGGCACTCTTTGAAAAAGTAACGATATCATTGTAAAAGTTAAGAATTGGTAGAATTTCGTAGGATTAGTTGTAAATGCCTTTTCTATTCTGATCAAGTGACTTTGTCATGCACCACATTATGGTTAGAAGTGGAAAAGAATCTGGCGATAAAACCACCCTAGAAAACCGTCTTTCCTATGGAGATCGAGAGGCGTCAATTAAAGGCTTATACCGTAGTTTCTATGATTACAATTAGTTCGTGTTTTTATGGAGGACGGATATATTCCGTCATCGTTGAAAGCTAGAATAAGATCGCAACAGTTTATAACGCTTCTTCTTGGTGGACAAGGAGAGAAGGAATAGCAAAAACTAGATAAGATTCCTGACGACTTCTGTGATCTCGTCTTAGATTCAAATAGCGTTTAAGCAACGGGATGTCTGTTAACCTGAAGAAATGATAATAGAATACGTCTAAAGTCTCTCTCACTGGCTCCCTACATTCCTGATAAGTAGTTCTTGATACCGATGTTTTTTTTATGTGGAAGGAGAACGGCAAAGAACGGTGGCAGAATCAAGTATGTGGGTAGGTGGCTGGCACCAGATGTTTGCTCCACAGAACCTACATTCCCATTATTGGCATGTTCTTTTCTCCACGAATAATAAAAGAGAGAAAGATCTGTGACGGTTGTGTGACTGTACGTCTCACGGCTAGTCATCATGTCTGGCCGTGGAAAAGGGGGTAAAGCGAAGACCGGAGGCAAATTCAGGTCTCGGTCAGAGCGTGCCGGTTTGTAGTTCCCCGTCAATCGCATTCATCGTATGCTTCGCAAAAGTAACTATGCTGGTCGTATCGGAGGTGGTGCTCCAGTGTATCTGGCTGCCGTACTAGAGTACCACGAGTGATAAATATTTCCAATGACACCTTCCTATGCAACCCGACAATTGTCTCTTATCGGTCGCCTCACCGTTCAATACCATAGGAGGTAGCTCCCATAGGAGGTAGTAGTGCTGATCAGTGGTCCTAATTTATTATTCAGCGCTATATTGCCCCATAGACTTCCGAACCACCCTTTCTAGGCCCTTCCAAGTCCTAACCACTGGTAGCCATATCTCTTCTTGATCAAAGGGAGCTTTACTGTACCGTTGACTCTTGCGATAAGTCGACCGACCAATTGATTTGATGTAATATCACCTGTCACCTGCAGTCCCGTTGATCGTCGAGTGACTCGAGCGGGCGCCAGTAAATCATCGATTTTTCTCTGTCGCGTGCAAGAGTCTAGTCTAGTGTGTTCTGCTCGCTATAGGAACTCGTCAAGCATCATATCTTTCTTCAAGGATCTTTGTGAAGAACTCTGACCATCGGGCCGGTGGTCTTCCTGCAGTGCGTTTGACATCCTGAAGAATCCAAACACTAACGGCTCTTGTCCATCGGTTGTCGTTCATACGCACTACTTCTCCGCCCTATCTTATCTTCGGCTTCTTGGTTTATGGAACGGCATCTTTGATTTTTGATCATTAGCATAGGTCGGAGCTTTGGATCCTTTCCCTTACTTGTGTGACAGAGTATACTCCTAGCATCGTCCTTTCGACAGCGCGTTGAATAACGCCGATTGATCTTTCATCCTGCTTACGCAGCGACCAAGTTTCAGACGCATACGTTAGGACAGGAAGTACCATTGAGTCGAGTGTTCTTTGTTCTCTTCACTACATCCTCGATGTTCTTGAAAGCTCCCCAAGCCGCTCGTCTCCTTCTGCTGAACTCTGGAGCTAGGTCGTTCATTATATTGATTTCTCGACCTAGATAGACATAACTGGAGCATTCGGAGATATTCGTTCCGTTGAGCGTGAATGGGGCATACGAAACCATTCCGTTCTTCATGAACATAGTTTTAGTGAGATTTAATCGAAGACCAATTTTTCCACAGGCTTTATCAAAGTCGTCAAGCATACGTTGCGCTTGCTAATGATTGATGTTATAAGGACGACGTCGTCAGCAAAGCGAAGATGATATAACTGCCGAGCATCGATTTTCACTCCCATATTATCCCATTCCAATGTTCGCATGAAGTTCTGGAGGGTAGCAGTAAATAATTTTGGAGAGATGGTATCGCCTTGCCTAACCCCTCTTTTGACGTCAATGATAATATCGTTGAAGAATGGTGATATCTCGGTTGTAAAATTTTTGTGTAGCTCACGAAGAATCTTTATGTACTTAGTAGCGACTCCTTGACTATCAAGAGCTTCCAAGACTGCTTCTATCTCAATTGAATTAAAGGCCTTCTCTAAATCGGTGAAATTGAGAAAGAGCGGTCTTTTGTATTCTCGCGATACTTCAATGAGCCTTGTTATCGTGTGGTTGTGGTCCATCGTACTACATCCTTTTCGAAACTCTGCTTGCTCACATAGCTGTCCTTCGTCTAGTGTTCTGTCAGTCCTGTTTAGGATAACTCGAGTGAAAAGTTTGTAGACGACGGACAGTAATCAGATTGGTTGCCGATATCGTGTAGGTCACCATTCTTGAACAATGACACAGTGTTGCTGGTCTTCCACTAAGCAGGGACCTTAGATTCAGACAGGTAACGTGTGAAGAGCCGAACCAGTGTGTTTGCGAGGACTGGCGGAAAATTCTTCAGGTGTTCTCGTGTTATCCTGTCTGGACCTGGTGTTGTTCGATTTTTCACCGACAGAATGTCATGTCGGATTTCGGAAGGGGGAACCGGTGGTACAACATATCTATCCTCATTTATTTCATATAACGGAAGATGTACGTGACTATCGAAGAGATCTGAGTAGTATTCGTGAATGATTTTCTCCATTGCCATTTTGGACGCTGTAACTGTTCCGTATAGGCGTCGCAGTGCAATCATCTTGGTCTTACAACTGGTGAAGCTTCGGTGGGCTTTGCGAATGCTTTTCGCAGCCTCTGCAGCTTCGACTATTACTGCTGCTCTTCTCCCTTCAAGATCTTTTTTTATCGCCTGTCTCCGTTGTTTTGCTAGTTCGGACGTTAGTTCGCAGTTGCCTGCAGCTCGTGCGATTTCACGCTGGCGTATCAGATCGAGTGCTTTTGGAGGCAGACGTCTCATGGTGACTTTCGAACTCTCAGCTTTCATAGCCTAACGTGAAGATGTTGAATGAGCCAATCGTATTCTTCGCCGATGTTATCGTCAACGGCATCTTCCCAACAGCCGACTAATGAACTCAATACCCCCCAGTTTATGGTGGTTCTGGGACTTCGGTTTTTGAATTAAGCGGCTTTTTCTCCTTTCCACGAGAAATAGAATCTTGCACGAAGGAGACGATGGTCTGATCCCGTGTAGAATTTTAGGACAACAGCGTCATCGGTTAGGAAAACCTTCTATTTACTATGATGTGGTCTATTTCGGCATGGTACTCTCCATTGGGAGACTCCGACGTCCAGCGCTGAGGGTGGGGTTTTTGGAATTGCGAGTTACCATGGATGGTCTTGGTTGCCATGATAGATTCAGATAGCCGTTCACTCTTTTCGTTCCATTCTAACCCATAGGTCCCAATGTGACGTTTTTCAGACGTTCTTCTTGGTCAAATCTTGGCGTTGAAATCTCCAGTGATGACCTTGAAGAATGTGTGATCTTCTCTGTAGAACTTCTCCATGTCCGTATAGAACGCTTTGACTTCTTCTTCGTCATAGTTTGATGTTGGCGCGTAAACGTCGAGGATTGTCAAAGCTGATATTGATCCACGTCTCTTTAATCGTAAACGTCCGATTCGAGTTGTAAGTTGTTCAAATGAATCGATGTTCATGGACAATCTCGTGTTGATGAGAACGCCGATGCCGCTGACCTCTCTATTGTCGCATGTTCCAAGGAACAGTTCTTCTCCGGTGTTACAGACGGCGTTGAAAGGCTAGCGTCTTCTGGTCTCGGCCAGGCCGATGACGTCGTACCTTATCCTTCTTGCTTGCATGAGCAAGTGTGCTATCAAGGACTCGGATACAAGTGTACGTTCATTGTAGGTACAGACCGTTACCATAGTTTTTTGAAATCCCGGCAGCTTCCACTGGCTCAGAGATTTTAGCAGCCTAACTCGTCCTACCCCACGCTGCGAAATTGGGGGCTCTTTCGGGGTCAGGGGAATGAGCCCGTTTTTTTTTTACTGTGTTTAGCATTTTCACACCCATGCATAGCTTGCTGGACTCTGAAGGTGGAGCCGGATACAATCACGGGTAGCTTGCCAGGCTTTCCTAAGAGTAGACGTGGAGCTTATTTGTTGGAGACGACTCCTAACCGCCTCCCATATACTTCCCAGTTACTTGATTGCAGGCTTTTGGGCGAATTGACTCGTAGAATACAATCCGCATAAGCAAGAACGTACCCACACACGCGTGCATGAATACGCCTAGCAAATACAGAAAGTATGTGCCAAATCAGCGCTGCAGAAACAGGGACTCTATCCCCTGGATCCACCTGCGTCGCAGAGAAGCAAAGGTCGCTTTTGGTCCGCGATTAGCCACTATCCGCCACCTGGGGACGCGCCACGTAGCATCGCAACTAACCTGTTCGAGATCCCTCATATGAGGGGGATCTGTGGATCGTAGGTCTAGACTGAACTATTCTTCCGGATACAATTTTTGGAGTCATCAAACTGGGCGATACCTTGAAGCATAGTCCTTCTGTCAAACACCTATTTGAACAACGAGGAACTCTCCTTGCGCACTGAAGCAATAAACATCTGAGGAAAGCATTCGATTGACATGTAGGAATCGATAGAGCTCATACAATATGTTTGTAATTAGTTATCATTCCAGTTTATCGGTGATGCAATAGTGATGCAGTTCATACTTTCGGATGAAAAACTCAACACCTGGATTCAAATCAACGTTGGCTGGGCTTTTGCTATCACCCTTTGTGTATACTCTTGTGCGAAAACATCAGGCAAGATTATTGGAGCTGTCTAGATTGACTTGGAATTGTCACGCGCCCATCATTAAGAGTTCGTTGTAAATTTCTAATGATGACACTTTACAGCGATTTCTTAAGAAACAAGAGATAGATTTTTGAAAAAAAGAAAGCATGGGAGTTTTGGTGACATTAGTTAGGTTTTTGAGCGGACTAACGTGCGTGAAAACAGATATGTGGCGATGAAAAATCAGTGAGACAGATACATCTACGCTCTTCAGGTGGTCATTTCAATCCTGCTGTCTCCCTAACGATGGTGACTCTTGGAAAGCTTTCCGTACCACATTTTTTAACATACTGCGTGGCACAAACTTTCGGCGCCTTTTTAGGAGCAGCCGCAGCGCTTGGAATATATTATGGTAATTTGGAACCACTGACAATAACGTTTGTTAATGGTCTCTACCGACTTCTTGCGAAGTTATAATGACTTTCCAGATCAGTTTGTCCATTTCACAGAAGGTGTGTTGAAGATAGTTGGTCCTAAATCTACGGCACGATGTTTTTGCTCCTTTCCTGATCCTCACATCAGCAATACAACTTGCTTTTTTGATCAGGTTGTTTTCTTGCCAGAAACCACTTGAACGTTTTCCTATTTGATAATATGCCTAAGACAACGATGGCGTTTATATTAGAGTGAAGGATGAAAAATATCTTACGGAAATATGCACTTTAAATCGTAAGAAACAAAAACCTTCACTCGAAAAGCAAAGTGCTATTCGGCGCTCAACATCTCAAGAGTATGATGTGGACTAAATGAGTCCAGTTGATCGTAAGTCGGGTGCAGACACGCGATCTTGAGCGACTCTTGGTAACCGTCAAAAACTCTGTCTCCGCTTTCTGCTTAGTTTGAAAACCTCAGTAGTCTCGATTCACTTGCACACCCATATCACAGCTCAGGTTGACTACCAACGTAAATGGGAATATGAAAACAAAATGTTTCAGATCGCGGGTACTGGTCTATTAGTTTTCTTCGTTTGTGTAATCATTGATAAACGAAATCATATTCCTGACGCCGCTCATCCGTTGCTTTTCGGACTTACATTGCTTTTGATCGGTAAGTTAGATCGCAGATTTTAACGAAAAGTACTTTTTCTGCATTAGGAACAAGCTACGGCATGAATCTTGGATATCCGATCAACCCAGCCCGTGACTTAGGACCACGAATATTGGCCTACTTCATATACGGCGAAGAGGTTTTCACGTGGGTTCTTCGTTTCATTGTGATTACAAGGATTGGCTTTTCTTTCTTGATAATAATTCCTCCCTTTTGTCGACCTGGTCAGCCAAATTAATTCACAGCTCGTATTCGGATCTTTAATTGATTGCATTTACTTAGTAGAAATGCGCTGTTTTCCGTACTGTCAAAAATGCTCTTGTCGTTTGCAATAATTCAGACCAGAGCTAAACAATGTGTTCAAGAAATATGTGCTAAAGGTGTCAATGTGCATATCCAAGGGTAAAATCTTTTATGAAATCTCACTAGCATCACAGTGTATTTTTATTTCTGTTAAGGAGAAAGGGGAACATATAATTGGGGCGCCCTGTAGTAGACGGGATCGACCTCGCACCCCAAGCTCGCCAAGCCTTCCATCCTACGAGGTCGGAAAATTGGTACCAGACTTGCCTGGGAGGATAGCAGCACTGTCTCAATATATCGGTGGACCACCACGAGTCATTGTAAAGTCCAGATATACATTCAATCATCTCCAACGATGATTAGTGAGGTCGAATGCATGGCGCATCCATCAGAGAATGCTCAACGCCGAGAACTTAAACCTCCTTTTTAACGTCGAACACCTAGGATCTTACGACTAGCAGTTTTCTTTGGTAGATCAGATGGTAGCTGATTTTTTTTTGTCACAGCCGACTAATGTTACCGTTTTTAGTATTGATACCGCGCTTTTAATTTCACAGTGGCATGACAGCGTCTTTTTCGCTACAGTTATACGAGTCTTCTAAAAAATTTCGCACCTTTAACCTTTTCTCTGAATTCCGCTGAAGGTCTATTCAAGCAGAGATTTGTTAAAGCTTGTTTTATTCGACGCCCTTAGTCGTATTCTGTTCAATGGCAATACTCCTTGTTCAGCTTAGACCTATGAGGATGTTTGGTCTAGGGTCTTGGTGATTGGATTAGGTGCAGAAGGAAGATATCGTTTCCATATCGACCATAGTCTATATTTTGAATGAATGGATGCGTTCAATTTCCGTGCAGTCCGTAATAGTATGAGTCTCCGCCTTCGGAGCTTATTATAATTAATCTCAAGGAAATAAGCCAAAAGTTCGCATTGATAGAACTCTTTTTCCTAAATTTATTAAAAGCAGTAATAAATAACCAATTGAATGACTACTCTTTAACCAATTGAAGATTCTGTTATTGTAAACATATTTTATATTACATGTACACATCTGTGGCGATCACACGCTTACATAGCCAATGCTCAAATGAAGTGAGGACCTCAACACTTTTTCTAATCGTTTCGTTGCCTTGAAACTGTTATCCATGGCGAATTTTCTGTCTCGGTCGAGTACAACTTCATGATTCTTCTTGCTGTTTCCTCACACGCATGGTAGATGTCGGCTGAACTTGATTATCCATGGAATTCCATGGAACAGCCTTGTTAGTGGATTTCCAGATCTTCATCAAAGACAGTCTCATCCTGCTGTGCATCGAAAGGTCTTCTAGAATAGGATTCCTAGATGATGGCATCAATTCCTGGAGTTGATTGACGTGACCGACCGATTATAGTATAACAAGGCGATTACGGTGTCCACTATAGCTAACCATTAACACTGATTTTTACCGCTTCGAAAGTTGCTAGTGTAGATAGATTGCGCATCTCATGTGAGGAAATTTTGAAATGCACTCTCATCTAGTGTATGAGCAGTTAAGTCATATCTACATCAAAATTCATTGTTTTATTGCATGGACCGCTTCACTGAGATTGGAGAATGTAAACGAGTCATCTGCAGCTAGCGCGAGAAGATGCTTATGGTTATAGAAATTCGTGACCACCTCACAAAAATCACATACATCATTTTTCACCTACTAGGTGACAGAAGAGGAATATGTGATACCACTGATTCTCCTTCTACAGATATCACGACTACTATTTCTGGATACCAATCGTCGCACCTTGTGTTGGTGGAGTATTGGCAGCTTGGATGTATTACATTTGCATTGGTGCTCACATTCCGGATCCGAATGATGATTATCCATTGCGTAGGAAATGTGATTTGGGACTTGAAGCTAGCGAGTCAAGCAGAAGGTCGACGCGGTTCAGACACCGTGTTTCACCAAAGTGAGTCCCATTTACCTGATTACTACTCGTATCACTACGCAATGAAAGATAGCTGTAAACCTTTTCGCGACCATACGCATTGATTTCAATATGTATGCTGCGCTTGCCACGGACGGTATATTTTATTTCCAATGTGCAAGAGTCAATAGAAGGAAAGGGCACTTTGCTATATATCTAGTGACAGTGTGTGACAAGTATTGTAGTGCTTAATTCAACCAACACTTCGAACCATGCGGGAGCACTTATTTATCGTTTGACGCATAAGTTCTACTTACAGTGTGAGACTAATGTCGGGCAATTCACTGCTTAACTATTGTTTTTTGTCGAATGAAGAAAGTCAGGAAAAACTGAGAAAGAACGTGTTTTCTCATTTCAGGAGCAGCATGTAGTGCGGTGAACGCATGTGTACAGTTTAGAAGAGCAGCAGCTGAATTTGTTTAGCCGCAATCTTTGGTTTTTTAGGTGATAATAAAATCGATATTTCTTCCATACATGCATTCTGTCAGAGTTCAACGTTGAATGTTCAACAATGTACTGAACCAAAGAACAAGTGGTCCTTTTAATGATGCCGGTGGAAATATTAGCCAAGAATACGGAGCATTACATTCATGAATATCGAAGGCAGATATGAACGAACGTAACCAATTGAAATTGTGAAGAAGATATGGAGCACGAAATCATGCTATATCACATCCATATATATATATATATATACGTATATATATATATGCGTATATATGTATACGTATAATTATAGTGGTTTGTTGAGACATCTGCAAAACTCCAGGCCTCAGGTACCTGCGGTGGAGATCGAACACGTTATTACCCTTTCCGGAAGCTAACGCATTCACCACCACTCTTTGCAGATCCTTTCTTTCCCCTGTCTCTCAGCTCGTTTTCTATAATAACTATCAGTACCACCAGCAATCACCCGTCGACTAGATCTCAGCATAATTATGGTTGTATTTCACATAATACCCTACCGTGAAAAATTGTAGTATTCAGCAAATAAGTTAACATATACGTATAATTTTGTTTTTTTTCAAAAACGGTTTTTGGACGACGCAAAAAATAGACAAATCACTGTTCAACACTTATAATGATAAGTTTTAATAGGAGCATGGCTATAGTGTGTTTGCATCAACAGTGGGAGAGAAAAGCCGTTGAAATGAAGAGGGTAATCTCATGACCTCGCCTTTTATGAGTTGGCACGAAGTTGTCAACACCTACTTTCATGTCCGCTGGCTAAGTTTTCGTCGACTTCAGCTTCTTCAGAGCCTGACACATATAGCCCCATCTATATTATTCTGTGAATATTTTGTGGATTGAATGAAAAGTTCTAAACCAAATCAAACATTCGTCTGCTAATATGTAATCATCTCTTGACGTTAATCAAATATTGTGAAATATCCAAACTTCAACAGATAGCGATTAAATGAAAGAAAGGACATGAGCACCAAAGTAGGTTTTAAAGATAGAGAGCAGAGCTCTCGTGGAAGTGCCACTCGCTGTGAACCCTTCATTCGATGATTATGGGCCACCGTACTGAAGTCTGAAGCTGCGAGTGGAGCACGATGCAGGAAACCGTTTTCGTCATTGTGAAAATGAAAACAGTTTTACTTAATTAAGTAGCCGCATTCCCGATCGTTGCTTTCCGTTGTACCGTGCGTTTTGTGAACTGGGTTTCCATTTGATATATCCGAAATCCTACCTTTCTTCTTGCTTTACTTAGCTCTTTTTCCATTGCCTCTACTCCTGCATCCTCCTCGGAGAGATGAAAAGCGGACAGGAAATATGTACAATATTCCAGTAGTATGGAAATCGAATGCACATGCACAATTACGTCGAACGACGCTTAATGAAGTCAAATGCATGGCACATCACCCAGGGATTGACCAACGTCGAGAGCTTTATCACATATCCTTTTATAGCAAACCTCCCATATCATTTGAAGAGGATGAGTTTTGCTTAGGCAAAAGTAGTGCTATTTTTTAACAAAGGAATATACAACGTTTCCCAATCGGTAGAATCTGATAGATCTAATTCAATGAGCTTATTTGTGGTAGACGTGGATAACTACAGGATGGCATACCGTAACGCTCACAACGGTTTACCGCCTCATCCTGGCTGAGAGGTATTCCTAGGTGTCGGGTTGCGATGCACAGCGGGGGATTCGTCCCTACGGCAGGGTATCTCAAGATGAGGATGAGTTCGACGTTTCCATCAGGAAGCCAGCTGAGAGTAAACCAATACCAGGATGTCCATCATCGTCTTGGTATAAAACTAGTATGGCGGCAAAACTCCCTCTGATCCACAAAGGCGGCGGCTACCTGTGGAGGACGACCTGGGGCATACTTTGGCCAGACTGACCTCGGAACTCCAGGGAACCACAATGGATAAACTAGCAAAAGTCTGGAAAAAAAAGTAGAGATTATGCTGGGGTCCGCACTGGGGTCCGCATAACTAGTGAACACAGGCCAACCAACTACCGAGGTAAGTTCTCTGTAATCACACACTGGCACGCAAAACATCGTAAACAGTTTATACCGCAATTGCAAAGCCAAGAATCAAAACAGAAAGGCAAAAGGTCATCATGACTAAGGACCTAGCCGTTTGCTTAGATTCTGTAAGACGGTAACTTAACTGTTCATACACCTATTTTAATCGATCTGATCATGATTACTAGCAGTTTCCGTGCGTCAGGAAAGCGAGTTATTGATTGAGCTTTATGACATTAATTTTGCACCAGTTCCACATGTAATAACTTCTGTGGAATAAAATTTTGTTAGTCACGATGAGAGCTATCATGCTTGTCCTAAGCTTTTCAACTTTTAAGAGATTTTCTTCGTATTTTTGTTGAGCAAACGCGAGGTGTTACTATTCTTTGTTCACGATTAAGCTGACGTTTCGGCGAATTTCGCCTTCTTCAGAGCCTGGAAAGGTCAAGTTGATAGCAACTCACTCGGCCAGACGCCTCCATAACCAAACAAAGAAACCCCGAACCAAGATACCACCGAGTAATCTTAAGCGCCAGCTAGTTCGTAACCGCCTATATGACCGTCTATGTGCAACTCAAAATTGCATAATTTGCCCCAGTGGTAGAGACGGTGATTGCATGAGCTCGGGTATAGTTTATCTGATCTCCTGTAAGACGTGTGGTGACGAATACATTGGCGAAACGGGTTGACCCCTCTGTGTCCGCATAAAAGAACACCTAGGCGGCAAACATAGACCAAATACCCCGCTAGGCACGCATAGGACCCAGAGACATAACGGGGAGGACTTCGCGGTATGTGTCACGATCCTCGCACGCGAATCAAGAACACAAGCGCGAAAAACTCTCGAGGCACTCTGGATTAATTCCAGAAATCCGAAAATGAACCGCAGGGAAGAATGCCTCATTATCACGCGTGATATAGGGCAATATATAAAACTGCTTTTCTGATGTGAGGGAAGCATTATACTTCCACGTGATTTCTGTGCGGTTGGTCTCTACGTGACATACTTAGTGGAAACCTCATAGAAAGCGGTGAGTGTGCAAAGCTGTGTTCAAAGTGATTGAAATCTTGGTTTGGGGTTTCTTTGTTTGGTTATGGAGGCGTCTGGCCGAGTGAGTTGCTATCAACTTGACCTTTCCAGGCTCTGAAGAAGGCGAAATTCGCCGAAACGTCAGCTTAATCGTGAACAAAGAACAATAACACCTCGCGTTTGCTCAAAAAAAATACGAACAAAATCACTTGATCAATGCCGAGGTTAATAGAAAGTCGGTCGTGGCAACTTTTAAGAGTTAATCAAAGTAATGGCTTTAAGAAAATTTCGGTATCGGTAGACCGTTTGACGAAAATAAATTCAATTTGTACAGATGCTTTTAAATATTTGGAAAAAGAACTCGCATACAAACCTTATTTCGACTTTACGTTCATCACTTCGAGGAATGCAAACCAACCAAGAGTCAATCTTTCGGCGGATTTCGAGCTCTAATTGCAATCTCGGCGTATGGTAATTGTGAGTTGGATAGAAAATGCATCCCTTTAAACGTTGCTTCATATCCGAGTTCTCGGATTATCTTTTAATTACTAGTTTTCAGTGAATGTTTTAAATACGTGGCTGTTCAAGTGTGTGTTGGATCTGTTGTCCTCTTTTGTTTGTCACCTGCTTTGCCGTTTTCCATCGTTGTCTTTGTGAAATTAGAAAAATCTTGCAGGGATAATGGACAATGGGTCAGGAATAGAAGCGGCGAATAACAACCACGTCAAGTTATCTGAGGCTCAGCTCGCCCATAGTGAATTCGGAGCTCCTCTGGATGAATGCTACAAACTGGCTGTGAGGTACTACAAAGGTTCGTTAGCTTACATGGATTGATTTTTTGTGTTAGGAGAAGGTGTTCGCCACTAAACAGCGAATATGTCCAATGTTCGGTGGAGAGGGTATGGGGCTTAAAGATGTGCGGTAAGCTGTTCATTTCGCAGATGAAGACAGCCTCCTTTTTGTGTTTTTCACTTTATAATTCATGTTTTCTTTGTGTTTCCGATTCATGTTTGTTGTTTTCTTTCCTAATTTTCTACGTATCGCCTGTATTATATATACATGTATATATATATATATACATATACATATATTCTCTCAGCGATTTACGGCCTTTTCGTGACTGGGAAGTATTCCTGGGTGTTGGGCTGCATATACAACGGTGGGATCCACCGGCAGGGTCTCCCAAGCTGAGAGGGAGTCCAGCGTTTCCATCACGAAGCGTAGCTAAGAGTAAACCAATATCAGGATCCACCACCGTTCTGGTATCAAACTAGTCGGATGGTGGCAAATCTCCTGATCCACAAGAGCTGCGACCGCCTGTGGTGGTGATGACTTGTGGCAGACTTTGGCCACGCTGACCTCGGAACTCAAGGGAAACACAATGGCTAAACTAGCAAAACTGCAAGAAAAAAAGTGCAAATTATACTGGGTTCCGCACAGTGAAGGCGGGCCATCCAAGTATATATATATGTATAT